CTTATACACATCTTGTATATATTAGGCAATAAGTAGGCAATAATAAGATGGTAATTAGCAGCACGTATGTTCCCAGCGAAATATATGTAAATATAGACATTTATATGATAAAAATCATACACAGTTGGCGTATTATAGGAATATAATTTTATTAGGCACGAATATTTCGTCCTGTCCTCAGGGCCATGGGCGGATTTAGGGGGGGGGGGGGCGCCGGCGGACCCCCCCCCCCCCTCTGCTTGTATCACATTTTTTTTTTTTTTTTTTTTTTTTGAGATAATTGAATGGATACACAATTCCATAGAAAGGTTGACTCTATGTCATATACTGATATACTGATATGTGTGCACATCTCCATTGACGACACCCCTTCAGTAGACTTACTCTTTTAATAAAGTACAGTTTTTTTGTAGACAACATTTGACACTTTTGACGTGTAAGTTTTGCTTCCTTATTGTTTTCAAGTACAGTACCTGGTTTAATCATATTGTGTAATTTAAAAGATATTTTGTATATTGTAATTGTATAATCCTGTTGTCTCTAATTGACATAAAAACAAAGTAGGCCTACCTAAACCTAGGGCCTAGGCATATTTCCAGTGGCGGATTTGGGTGGGTGAGAGGGTGGGGTGGCGTATACGCCCCCCTCTATTTTTTGTAAAGAAAAAATTACACCCACAGTGTTTAAGTCTTCTTTTCCTACCAAAAACACCCTAGGAGAGTGCTATTCATAAATCCACTTGGTGAGAAATAGAACACTTGTAATTTACTCAATGTTAATATACAGTAGCAGATTTTGTTGTTTGACGACTTTTTTAACGGATTTTGGATATTAGTTTTCCTTTTTGCTGATTTTGTGATTTTTATGTTCAATTTTGCTGAGAAACTTCATCATGTTTTCTAGAAGTAAAATTTCTCTTTTGAAATGGTGTACATTTATGAGCCTTCGCATGTTGTCAAACAGCGGTGGCGCCAGAGGGGGGGGGGCTGGTGGGGGCTATAGCCCCTTATTCCCCTCCACCGTCTGAGAAGCATAGACCTCCCGTCGGGGAAGACGATACATTTTGTCGGGGAAAAAACAAATAAAAAAAATATTTACATGTAATATTCGTTTAGCCACCATATTGTTGTTAACTTTTCATCACAACAACAACAACAATAATAATAATAATTATTCAATGAGACTAATTAAAAATAGTTTGCGTTCTGTTATGACAAATGCTCATTTAGATAGCCTCATGATGGTTGGAATACATCGTGATAGGTGAAGCAAACTCGACCATGACAGCGTGGTTGACAGATTTCATGCAAAATTTCCAAAATATAGAATTTCACTTTCAAGAATGGGGATTTTAAAATAAATTAGATGGTTACATTGCATACTCTTTGTTTCTTGCTTTATTCAAAATGTTTTGGTTTTGTAAGCTGGTTTCAAAATTAGAAAGCATAGCCTACATGAAGTCATATTATAGTAACTCGATGCCTATCAAATAAGTAATAAAAATTCGCCATAATTCATCAAATATCCAGCTAAGAGAGACTCGATTCGCTCCAC